ATTGATGGAATGTTGTCAGGAGGTGCTTCCATCTTCCACGCTTAAACCGCAAGAGTCAAACCAGAAGTCAACAGGCAAACTATTCAGGCAGCGATCTTAGAGGTGGGAGCTTTTACGAAACAGCGCCTTGGTTGCAAGAGAGTGGGGAGGGGTCTGTGGCCGGGACACCTGTCTTGAAGCTGTTTGTAGAGCAAGCGCAGGCAGGGCCTTTTCCCTATATCGATGTTTAATATGGGATGGTTGAAGTGATGTTTGTATATTAAACACATTGTTTTAAAAAATAGATTGTAAATTTATTTAAAATAACCTGGGTGTAAGGCTAATGGATATTGGAGCTGTTAAAGTCTGTCCCATGCCCCATTCCCACTCCCGCAGCCACTTCTGTATAAAAATAATGCTTACATTTCTTTATGTAAACTCAGACTTGGAAACTATTCATCACAAAAAGTTCGAGAGGCTCGCTGCACCCCCAATGTCTAGCTGCTTCACTGCCCTCAGAGTCTTTGCAAAGGTTAAATGAGTAAGTTGTCAGCAGGTTTATGTGCAGAAGGCAACTAACCTGCTCCTAAAAGTTAGAGCTCCTAAAAGTTATTATTCTTTAAAACTTTATAGTGAAGTATAATATGTAGTGAAGAAAAGAGCATATTATCATTAAGTGCACAGTTTTATGAAATTTTCACAAACTAAACACATCCCTGGTATCTGGATTCAGATCAAGAAATAAATTATTACCAGCATCCCCAGAATCCATTTCCACGGCCAGTTACCAAAAGCCTGAGTTCTAACAGCAGACATTAGTTTTGCCCGTTTCTTATGTAAATGAAATCATATAGTAAGTACTTTCATTCAACATAATATCTGTGAGATCTATGTTATGTATGTAGTTGTTCATTCATTTTCATTACTGTATAGTATTTCACTGTCACTATACCATAATATATTTTAACCATTCTATTGATGGACACTTGAGAGTTTCTAGATTTGGGCTATTATGAATAGCATTGCTGTGAATATTGAAAACGTCTTTTGGTAAAGTTAAGCATGCAGTCCTCTTGGGTATATACTTGTGAGTGGAATTGCTGTATGATAGGTTATTTGTATGCTCCGCTTTAGTTAATATTCCCTAATAGTAGATAGTTCTATAGTGTTGTACTCTTTGACACTGCCACCAGCAGTGAGTGAGCACTCTGGTTGTTCCACATTCTCTCAATTGGTAGCGTAAGTTTTCTTTTTTTTTTCAATTTTATTCCGCTTTATATAATGGCATCTTATTGTAGTTTCAATTTGCATTTTCCTGATGATTAATGAAATAGAACACCTTTTCATGTATTTATTGGCCATTTCAATAACCTCTTTTGTAGAGAACCTGTTCAGTCCTGTGCCCATTTTCCTATTGATTGTCTGTCTTTTACTTATTATTGTTATTATTCTTTATATATTCTGGATATGAGTCCTTTGTGAACATTTTCTCTTACTCTCTTCCTTGCTTTTAAAAGCTTTAACATTTTTTGATATGTAGTGTAAAGTAAGAAACTAAAATGTCTTTGCCCAAATGCCTATTGGTTATCTCAATATTAGAAATGATTCTATTACTCTTTATTTCTTTATGCTTGTTTTATTATATTATACCATGCATAAAAATTCAATATGTTTCTTGGTCCTAGTTCCAGATTCCCATGAGAGAATCTGATTGGCCCAGCTGTGCCCAAAAGATAGGGTCTCATAGAACGAAATTGAGTTTTGGGGCCACACCCCTGTGCATGAGGAAGGAGGGTGATTAAATAGATTATGAGCAAGAAAGATACCCCAAAAAAGGTAGTGATCAGTTTCTTCTGGAAGCAGTAAACAGAGTGTTGGCCAGAAGACAGTAAGTAGTGGCATGTTTGTGAGCAGAATTACATCCCACTTGCCTGGAGGAATGAGTCTACTTCCTGTTCCTGCGGGATTGTCAGATATCTGCCGGAGTTTATAAGAGCTGATTGGCTTATGTGGACTCTAATTATTCAGCATCCATTCCTTCATCTAATATTTGCTGAACATCTGCTATGTACCAGGCCCTCTGCTTAGTTCTCTCTAAGTGCTGCTCTAAAGGAATTACTATTTTCAAATATTTGTAACTACAATGGTGACAAAATACTGACCCATATTACAAATATGCTATGCAACCATTAAAAATGGGGAGATAAACATACACGAATGTGACCTTGACTTTCTTCTGCTGCTTGGATGTCTGGTCAGTTATATTCTCATCTCATCAAAGATATTCTAACATGCTAGATTGGGCTAATTCGAGTTGGAAGCTGGTTAAGTTTGCTTGCAGCATTCCCTCCTGAGAGGGCTCTGAGTTAAAGGTGGCTAAAAGAGGACTTGGTGTGAGATTTGGAAAGCAGAATGGGAGTCTCAACCACTCCCCTGGAGAGATCTCCATTGTTAGACACTGTGACAGACAGATGTGCCCACAGAGATGCCAGCTAGTCCTCAAGTCTTTAGTGACTCCTCTCTGATCAGCCTACAGTTCATTCCAGACCTTCGCTTCCCCAGCTCCTCCCACCTTCCGGCAAAGTCTCATTCCTATAATAACTCCCTTATTTCCATAAGGCTCCTGGTGGCTCTGCTCCCCTGAATGAAGTCTGACTGATATACCTTATCATAAAGGGAAGCATACAGGGAGGTGGTTAAGAGTGTGGGCTCCGGATTCAAACAGCCAGGGGTGAAGAATAATAACAAAGATAATCCACACACAGCTTTTAATATAATGCATGACACACAGCTACCACCCAAAAGAGGTTATATAATAAGTAATGGCTCCTTCAGTGCCTGAGACATAACTTCTATTTATCTTTAGTTGACTTCCTGTTGGATTTCCACTTTCCTCAAGCCATTGTAACCAATCCACTGAAGAATTCTAGGACAGCACTTCTTGAAGTGGGGCATGATTGGGTGAGGGAGGGAGGGGAACTACCGGTCAGCCTTCCCTTCTTTGCCCATATGGAGAGTCCAGTATGCCCCTCTATAGTGGGCGTGTCAGTGCTCCACAGCTCCATGGGTCCCTACTTGCACACCGCCCTCCAACCTCCTCCCCGTGCTTTCTCTCCCAACAGCCATGCCTGCAGCTCTTCTTTGTGGGACTGCCCTCTGCCTACTGGAGCCCTTTCCCTGTTCAAGAAGAAAGCCTGGGACTATCTTCTTGGAAAGCCCAGCTCATAGGCTTATTATACTACAGAGCTCCCTGGGGATCAGGCTGAAGCTATGCCTGAGAGTGCTGGGCTTCCTCTCCTTTCCTGTCCTGCCTTTCCCATTCTGCTCACCAGTTTCCCCTTCGTGCACTTCCTTAATAAGTCACTTGCATGTGAATCCTCACTTTAGGATCTACTTCTGAGAATCACTTTCTAAGACATAAACCCTCTAGGGCTTTTTGAATATATGCTTCTCCACCTCACCTTCAGAGGGAAAGTGCAGAGACGGCAGAGGAGGAATGTCTGACATTTAGGTCCCTGCACTTCCAATGGGCTCTGTTGTCTCCAAATAGGTGTGTCTGGGAAAGCTCATGGACCTTTCAAAGTTGGATCTGCCCGGGATCATCAAAGATGGGACTTGGCTAGGTGAAGAGAGTGAAGGGTATACCAGATAGAAGTGAGGATCTAGTTCCACCATGAACTAGCTGGGTGATTGAGTTAACTAGTAAACTAGCTATAAAAAAGGAAGGATACTAGTATCTGCCTCATAGGGCTATGATGAGGATTAAATGAGGAAATCCATGTAAAGCCCTTAACCTAGTACCTAGCATATGGTAGGCACTCAATTAATGTTAGCTTTTATTTTTGTCCCTTATTTTCTTATAGTACTTTGTGGGTGCTTCTATTTCACCTCAAATTATTGTCTTGTATGTATGTATCTGTCTCCCACTTTATATAGTGAGACCCCGATGGGCAGGAGTCATCTTTGTGGAATACATAAACCCCATGTGGGTAAGGCCACATGGGGTTGATGTGGGTAATTGTAGATGGCCAAAATTCTGTAAATACTTGTGAAATTAAACAAAATTGACCAAGGGCATGAATGGGAAGCAAATGACAGAGAGAGAGAGAAAGAGAGAGAAAGAGAGAGAGAGGGAGAGAGAGAGAGATACATAAGACTAGATATCAAAGAAAGAGAGAAGAGGAGAGGAGAGGAGGAGGAGGAGGAGGAGGAGGAGAAAGAGGAGGGGGAGGGGGAGAAAAAATATTTTTCCTGAGGGTGCTGCAGCTTTCATGGTTAGTTTGGGGGCAAAGTACAACCCAGTCCTCAATGATGAAGGACCTCATAGAGACTTCAAGCCCACTATGAACTTCCTTCACCTAAGTTCAAGTAATATTGTGTTTGAATCACTCATATGTCACATCCTATAAGCCTTGCATTTATTTCTCTTTCTGTTCTCTGCGTATCACCTTTGAGTACAAGGACTTACATCTCTGAAAGTCCTTGTCTTTTTTTTTTTTTTAGGCGAGGCAACTCTTGGTTGACCTCACAGATTGCAAGGAACTTGTCAGCTTACAATTCCTTATTTTTTATTTTTTATTTACTTTTTACACCTACAGCACCTAGGTGGTCTCCCATCCAAGTACTAACCAGGCCCGACCCTGCTTAACTTCCGAGATCAGATGAGATCGGGCTTGTTCAGGGTGGCATGGTGGTAGACTGAAAACCCTTGTTTCTTAATCGCCCCTCCCCAAGAGTCATTTGGCCCTCATTCTTACTCATGTTCAAGGGAAAGGAAATAAGACGATATAGTAGGAGTACTAATTAGCTTTAGAGTCAGCTACACTTGGATTTTAATCTTGGTTTTGGGCTAGCTTCAACAAGTCCTTAACTTCTCTGGGCCTCAATTTCCTCATCTGTAATTTGGGGGTAATAATATCACCTATCTCACAGAGTCATGTATGGATTAGAAATAAGGGATGAAAAACCCTTTGCACTCTGAGATACAGCCCAGGGGAATAAAGGAGCCCCACACAGAGAAGTAAGCCTTGCAAGTTTTAATGTTTTGTGAGTGGTAACAGAGCAGTCTTAAGGAGATTCCCAGACGACCTGTTCTGACTTTAGAAGCACTTCCTGTGGACAATGGAGGGCCCTGCCTCGTCATACTCTGGCTTGCTAATCCACATCTGCTGGAAGGTGGAGAGAGAAGCCAGGATGGAACCTCCAATCCAGACGGAGTACTTCCGCTCTGGGGGAGCAATAATCTGCAAAGAGTAAATAAAGTGAATCATGATCAGTCCCTAAGGAAATAGGGAAGGTGGTCCAGGAATCATCTCATTACACTGCCAGGCTGCCATGGAAAAGGACAGCCTCCATGATCAGAAAGGAACAGGGTAAACCTTGTGGTACATTGGATTATTGCTCAAATCTTCGCTCTCTTCCATCCCCCCTCTAGGAAGAGCGCACTGTTCCACCCTGTCACTTTGGCTAGACCAATAAAATGTTAGCAGACATGACCCAAACAGGAGCTTAAAATACACTTCAGGCATGCAGTTGGGCATGCTCTCTTGTGCCTCTGCCATCTTCCTGAGAAGAGCTTCCCTTGATGGGCTGCTGGCCCTTTAGCCTGGGTCGCATGATGAGAGATGTGCACCTGACCTGAGCTGGGTGGACCTGCAGAGATGCCTTGGCAAACCTGACTTAGCTTAGCTGACTCCCAGCTGAACTACAGATGCATGAGCAATAAATGCTAATTGTTACATGCCCTGAGATTTCATAGTTGTTTGTTATTCAGTAATAGCTGACCAGTACAAACACCTATAAGGGGAGTATGTTCTGTTCTTGCCTGGAGTTTGCATACATGGGTAGCTCAGGCTGGGCTTCCTCCATTCCTGAGTCTGAGCCAGCCTACTCAGACCCTGTCTTGAGCTTCATCTGTATTGTATCTGAGTTCTCAAATTCATACATACATTTTCATTCTTGCCACGGGAGTCTGGAGCTTAGCCTTCAGAAATTGGTTGTCCTGTCAAACAACTTTGAACGCCACCTAAAAATGGATCTAGCAGGACTGTGATTCTTCAACTAATTTCCCAATTTTTGAAGGATCTAAGAATCTAGCGCAACAACAAACCAGAAACTAAATCGACTTTTTGTGTCCTTAGAATCTCTCTACATATTTCCTAACTTACAGAGATCACAGTATTGCAGAATAAGAAAGGTCTTTAGAAGTTATCTTACTCAGGCAGACAAAAGTCACCCTATCACTCCTTGAACAGATACCTCAAGGAATGGCACAGGCACATATTTTATTGCTAGGCAATTCTAGTTATGAGAAAACTCTGGGTTGTCTTGGGCCAGAGGTCCTCGGCTTCAGCCCCACCTGTACCTGATATCTCTTCTTCCATATCCCGAGACTTGCCTCATCTCCCCCAATTCCTCTACACAAATCCTGCTATTCAATACACACACACACACACACCCCTGAGCACCTTTGCTCACTCTATGTCCCCTGCCTGGGGTGCTCTTTCTCCTCCTTTTATCTTACTTAAGTTGCCCTTTCATTGATCATGACTGCTAATAGATCCTAAACTCCTTGAAGGCTGGCACATATTGTTAAACTCAGGGCAGCGGATCACAAATTGGGACATGCTTTAAATCACTGGTGTTCGTTTATCAGTAGAGGTGGTGGGAGTACCTCAGCCCTGATGAACCAGAATCTGGGGTGAGGCTGGTATGCTGACACAGGGTCCTGATAAAAAGCCCCTGCTTCAGGCCTGGCAAGATGCCCCCCATGTGGCAGGTCTCAGTAAGCGTGACTGCTCCAGGGGCTCGGCTGCGAATAAGAGCCCGCAGGTTCTCACCTGTTTCCGCTTTGCTTCCCTGTGCTGAGCGCTATCTGCTAGGCAGTGGGAAGGCCTGGGACAGCCTTCCTGTGTGAAGAAGGTTCTTAGAATACTGACAGAGAATGTACTTCCTCAGATCAGGCCTACTCCTCAGAGACCAATTTTATTGGGAGACTTTGTAACTTTCAACCTATTTGTTATCTCTATTCTATTCCCCATTCTTTTTCTAAACCTGCTAGCAGCAAAGTTCCTAGAAGCCCTTAAAAAAGACTGTATTATTGATAGCCTATGGACCAGAGGCTGGGGAGAAGCAGTAAGACAAGTGGGCTCCCATTCTATTGAAGCCTATGAAGTGAGAAGCCCTGGGGAGACACCGTGTGGGGAGGGCTACGGCCCAGCTGGGACAACAGGCTGTCCAGGAATCAAGGAAAGTCTCTGTGAATTCTAACCAGCAGCCTGCCTCCTGGCTAAACTTTCTCTCTTTGAAACTTCCACCTCTTCTGGGGTAACACTCAAGTCCTTTTTAAAGTTTAGAGATGCTGAAGTGTTGCCTCCTTTTCTTCCCCTCTATTTTCTTCCTCTTGATTTCCTCCTCAACCTCCTCAATACTCTCTTCATCCCAAATTCTTTCACCCCCTTCTCATATGACATCATGTGATTGTGTTTGAGAGCTCATGCTAAATGTGTGTCCAGCTCATCAGTGCCCAAGGAACACAATCCCCCAAGATGAAATATGGCCCAGAGCAAGATGAAATTGAGACCACTGAGCTACAGGCCTGGCAGTGTGTCTGAGCATCTGACAAATCATTATATGAAGAACGTAATGGAAAGAACTGGGTCAAGAACCACCTTGATCTTCATGGTACTGGGGGCCAGGGCTGTGATCTCCTTCTGCATCCTGTCAGCAATGCCAGGGTACATAGTAGTACCCCCAGAGAGGACATTGTTGGCGTATAAGTCCTTGCGGATGTCAATGTCACACTTCATGATGGAATTGTAGGTTGTTTCATGAATTCCAGCAGACTCCATGCCTAGTGGAGATCACAATATCCATCCAGTCAGCATACATCACCCAAAAAATGCCCATACCTCCAGCTCCTCAAGTGATCATTCTATTATTGCAACTATGCTAGTTCAGCCCCTTAATCAACTCACTAAATGGATTGCAAGACCAGGCCTTCTAACTGGTCATCGCCCTGCCTTTAGTTTCCCCCTGTTCTGAATGATCTTTCACATTGTTGGCTGGGGTATATTTCTAAAGGAACATTTTCATTATATCATCTTTTTTTCCAGCTTTATTGAGCTATAATTCACATACCATAATATTCACCCTTTAAAAATGTACACTTTAGCAGTTTTTAATATATTCACAGTGTTGTGCAACCACTACCGCAATGTAATTTTACATTTTTAACAGCCCCCAAAGAAATCCCATAGCCATTAGCAGATACTCCCCATTTTCCTCTTTACCCCTTCCCCAACTCTAGACAACCACTAATCTACTCTCTGTCTCTATAGCTTTGCCTATTCTGGACATTTCATATAAGTGGAAACATACACGGTGTGGCTTTTTGTGTCTGGTTCCTTGCATGTTTGCAAGGTTCATCCACCGTTATAGCAGGTGTAAGTACTTCATTCTCTTTAATTGCCACATGATATTTCATTGTATGGATATATCCATCATATCATCTTTGACAGTCCTCCATTGCCTACAGGTTGACATTTAGCTACCTTAGCCTGACACCAAGATCTTCCTGCATGCCAAACCAGTTCATCTCCACCTACCTGGCCTCCCCTATTTTAGTCTTTTGTCCATGTGATATAATTCCGCTTAGTAGATTGAAGAATCTTTCTAAAATACAAACCTGACCTTGCTACACTGATATCTAAAAGCTTTCAGGGGAGCTCCATTGCTGATATGATTAATCCCCACATTCGCTGTGTGGCCCAGCCATTCTCTCCCATTTCCCCTGTATGCAAACACACAACACACACACACACACACAGAATTCTCTCACGGTGTCCTAAATAAAACATGACCTTTCACATGTCCATATCTTTGAACATACCATTCCATCTGCCTTGTATGCCATTCTCC